TTAGCCCAAAAGAGAAATTATTACGACTGCCAATGTATCCTCCTCAGAGGCTGAATTCTAGAGACTCCTTGGCATGTGGACCTAAGTTTTGGAGTAATGGCAAATCTGTTATGAGCTTCTCCTTCTGTTTGAAATATCTGACAATACTACTATAAGTTTAATCCCTTCACCTGCGCATTACTCTTATGACTCAAACTTCATGGGATAAGAACAGTACTTCATACCTTCCTCTTGCCCCTATTCCTCTGCTGTCTAGTCATAAGTACAACAGTGATTTTGATGTGAGGTCCATCATTGTCACTGAAATAGTTGTCCAGATGCTTCAGTCCTTGTGTCCTAATCATCCCCTTCTTGATCTGATTTTGAAATTAGTTTCAGGGATTCCCAGTACTCCTACATAAGTTTAAATGCTTCAATTCATCATATCTCTTCTGCTACTTTTTTACTCACTAATCATTGGCAAAATAAACCCTTCACAATCTTTCAATATCAGAGAATACTTGTCATGTTTTTCAAATAGTGAGATTTATCCTAAACAGAAAATATGGCACCTGTTGCAACCCTGCGCCAGCAACGTAAAGCCGCGCAACAGGGTGTTTTTTTGTTGCGCTGCGCCGCAACACGCCACAAAGAAACGCAGACCGTGCAGCGCTGCAATTGAAACCACAACATAAAACTAGCCCACCCGGGAGTGTGACTCATCTAAGGCCCAAAACAGCAAAGTCGCAGACACAACAGTATTAGTAGTTGCGCCCGTAACAGACATGTGATGCTGCAGCAACGCACCCACCGCAACAGACCCAAAAGTCTAAGAAACATTGATTCAGAAACTATTACAAGGAAATATGTGAAGTCAAGAAGAATAGAAGGAACATTGAAATGTGAGAATAGAAGGAAACAAAGACAAACACTATAATTGCAAAGATAAATGAACCATATGAATGTATGTTCTAATCGTGCCACTCCAATAAACACAGTAACAATGAATTTGGAATAATAAAGATACGATTACATTAATCCAGTACTACACCTAGTGCTTCCAAAATGGAAGTCAGGTCTGCAAATTCTACACCCAGATTGACTCCTTCTCTTAACCATAGTCTACTCAACACCAGAGCTTCTATGGTGCATGCAAGTAGGCTACCCCAATCACTGGCACACACATCAGCGGCACATGAAAATATTCTTTCAGCTGCGCACGATGAACCAGTCGAGGCTAGATAATCACGTGCCATAATGGCGAGGATCCGGTATTCTTTTTCATGACACTGAAGAAGTGACAGAAACAAAGATGTTAGCACAAGATTGTTCATTGATCATGTACTTACTCAACTTGTTTGCGGACCCACCACACAAGACTTGCTTTTGGGTCCGCCAAGTCATAATCCTTCTGGCGCATCTTGTCTGACACTTGGAAATAGTTTTCCAAAGATGCATCCACTGAATCTTTGGCTGTATCATCCTCGTCTTCATCCGTGTCCACATGAAACAACCTCGATGGTGGAGCCAAAGGATTGGAGCTGTTCGATCCAGACTCATGGTTTCCAGAGCGACAAGCCGGCAAAGAAGCTTCATATCCTGAGTATATTTGCCGCAACATTGACTCAGCCTTCATTGGAATGGTACCAAACTTTCCACCGAACCGCTTTGTGAAAAACTTGAGGCAGAAGAGGAATAAGTTTGATGTAGATCAATCCCAACATGTTTTCTCAACAATTTTTTTTCTTATATGTAGTTGACTGTGTTTATCAACTTTGTCTCTCTCTCCTTATCTTTTGGAAAGAGAGTAAGTCTTTCACTTATAATTTGCGTTTCAACATCATACTGATATCATTTGACGAACATGTTAGAACTTCCTTTAGATCAACTCTCATAAGCGTTTGAGTTTACTTATCGTTTCTCATTTTATCTTCACCTCCCAAACCTTTAGGTATAAATTTATATTGTTATCTTGCTACGTTTCATTAGTCTAAGTTGTTTTTCTTTTCACTACTTCTATCTTTCAATTATTTATTCTAGGTTAGCAAAGGTCTGCATACCTGAGCTTGTTGGAGAAGAGTGCAAATACGCTGCACTACATTTATAGGTTAGTTGATTAGTAATATAATAAATATCTTTTGGAAAGAGAAACTTCCTTTAGATCAACTCTCATAAGCTTTTGAGTTTACTTATCGTTTCTCATTTTGTTTTTACCTCCCAAACCTTTAGGTTAGCAAAGGTCTGCATACCTGAGCTTGTTGGAGAAGAGTGCTAATACGCTGCACTACATTTATAGGTCTTATGGTCTTCTTAGCCATTTACAAGATTGAATCTTGGAGTCAATTGCTATAAGAAGATGAGCAATTAATACAACAATAAAACATATATTTAAGAAGGATGTCAATAATAAAGGTGTACTTACTTTCAATTCTTTGAATACATTTTGTTTCAAAGAACTGTTGATGTTCTTAGCTTCAGTCAACGCCCATTTGCGGCCATATAATTTAGCATCATGGCAAAGGTATTGAACCATTCCCCTCAGGATTGGATCCTCAATAGGAGTCCAAGGAAGTGCTCGCCGAATCAACCAGGTGCAAGCCATCTGGTTGAAGGTAATGTTGTTGAATTTTGTTGCGGTGGTCGTGGTAACATACTTGTCCAAAGATCCCTTCTTGACCATACATTGCTCAGCAACAGACGGTGGTACATGAAATCCCAAATTGTGAGCTTCGAGTTGTCCAGCGCAGCTGACATCAGAACGACCACCAGTAGAGTATCCGTCTTGGTGAGTCCAAAGACTTCCTGTCATGTTGCTGTAGCTGACACAAACAGGATCGTCTTTATCCCTCTTGCAGAACCGACATGCATATGAGAGGGGAAGTTTGGATTGATCCTTCAATAAGAATTCCCAGTCAGTTATTGGGTATTGATGACAAAGATAAAGTACAAAATTACTTACATCACCTTTTGCATGAAATGGTGGCCAATGATACACCCTCAGCTTGGCTAAATCAGAATTGGGATTCTCGGAATTAGGCTTGTGTTTCTTTTGAACCTTGCCAACAAACTCCGCGTCGGAATCAGCTTGTAAAGTGGCTTTGGTTATGTTCAACAAGATATGCTAAAACATTCAAGTGAACTCAATTGTTAGTTAGCTGAGGTTGGACAAGATAAATGATGATGACTTACTTCATCAGATTCAACTGCAGTACGGGTAGATCACTTCTGTGAGGCTGAAGGCTTAGGGCACGTTTGGTATAGCTTATTTTAAGCTACTTATGTCAAAATTTGACTTTCATAAGTTGAATTTCAAAAAGTCCGTTGGGCATCGACTTTTTGAAACTTTTCAAAGCTACTTATGGGACCCATAAGTAGCTTATCTTGCTACTTATAATAAAGAGCCAAAGAGCTCATTATTTTCCAATTAAGCTACTTATTTGACCCAACGTCTCAATCTCTTTTCTTTTTTTTAAAAATCTACAAGTCCCATCTTCCATACCCCCCTGTCCGCACTTCAACTCACATCAATGTCTTTGTAAAAAGAAACCTCGATTCACTCAGTTGTTTTTTTCAAATCGTACATCTCACATCTTCCATACACCCTTCCTATCTTTGAATCACTTCAACGTTGTGGTCAAATATCACTGTTGATACTCAATTCATCATCTCTCATCTTCACACACCACATCCAAAAGTCATGATATGCACACAATATACTTCATCCAATGTCATTAAAGCATTGGAGTTAAACTTTGAATTTGCAAGACAAACAACATTGATGATTTATTGTGAAAAGTTTTCCAATTTATATGTCAATCCAGGAATCAATCAAATCTCTAGAGAAGAAAATGGTTTGTAAAAATTAAAGCAATCAGTGGTTCTGGAACTAGAGATGAAATGAAGAGAAGTGAAAGTTGAAGAAAAAGTGAAAAGATTTGGAACAGTCAACCAGATTTTGGCTGCCAAACGAAATTCAGCTTTTATATACTTTTGAGTTGACTTTTTGATGAAAGTCAACTTAAAACAAAAATTGACTTTCCGGGGTCGGAAAGTTTGTACCTTTTAAAAGGTACAAAATTTTGTAAGCTGTACCAAGCGTGCCCTTAGGCTTTGGTGCTGTTTTGAGTTTCTTTTTGCTGCCGTTATGAACCGATGTGTCAGATTTGTGTTCTTGGTCTTGGAAATCTTGACTCGACTCGGTGCGCTTGTGTTTAGACGTCGTAGGTTGTTTGAACTGCTTTCTCCCTCCAAACCGAACGGATCCGTCAGATTCATCGTCCTGGCCTTGATTCAATTGACTCGAGTCCTGGCGCTTGCGTTTCAAAGTTGTAGGTTGTTCTACACTGACTCGTCGACGAGAGTCGGGTGACTGAGATATCATTCTTGGGTATATGGCCTGCTTGCGGTTACGAACAGATCTGGGTGGGTGTCCTCTTCAGTGGCATGTGAGGTATATGGTAGCAACACCTGAAGCGATCCGCTGCAAAAAGCGGTGGCGGGGCGGTGGCGGGGCGGGTCGCCCGCCATCGCTCTGGGATTTGTCTTGTAGCGGTTGAAAACGTCCCGCCACCGCCCCACCCCTAATACTGGGGCTGTAGCGGGCTGTAATTGTGACGGGGCGATTTGAACTTACGCCCCGCAGCCCTTGCTCAGAGCGGCATGTAGCGACACGAGCAAGATCTCTAATTTGACAATTAACAAGACTCAGAGTCAACATCACTCTCAGAACAACTCTCGAGGTCTGCAACTCTCAACACCTGCGACTCAACGTGGCTACATCGGATCAGCACAAAATCATCTCAATGCCCCAGCACTTACCTCCACCAACAGTACTTATAATCTCACTGATAACTCAAATTATCAAATCCTTTCAATCTCAGGATTATCTTCATCTCTCATCAAGTTATTCATCATCAATCTAATCAACATCATAAGCCTAACATTTCAATCAACCTCAATCAATCAAGAAATATTAATTCATCCGAAGATGAAATATGATTGATAGAATGAAATTGAAAGATTTACTTAGCAGTCCTACCAGAATCAGGTTGAAAGATTCCACCCCAAACTTCATAATCAAGTCTAGAAGCTTCTAGAGCTCTGTTTTGACATAAGATTTCTAATCGATGTATCAATACATTTCCACCATATTTATTTAAAAATTGATTCATTGGCGTCCATAACTGCTGAAGAAGTTGAACTAGCAACAAGAAAAAACTTATTCGATTACATTAATTGATTAACCGGTTGTTCTTATTCCTGTCCCAAATCTCGATCAAACTCATTATTTGAAGCAGTCCAACTCACAAGTCTTACCTCTCATCGATCTATGATTTCCACTTCCTTCTCTCAATTCAATTATCACTACCATTCAATCATCTAATTCCAACTCACCATCAAGTTCTGATATCATCCAAAATATCTCTACTACTTCATCACCTTGAATCTTAACTGATTCCCATCTTATTCAAGATCAAAAAGAAGATCTTCCTTCTCACTGTTTTTGAAATTTTTTTTATGCTTTGTTACATCTCCACTGATCATCCATCTTATATCAACCTTTGAAATCACTCCTTATCCTTTATTTTTTGATCATTTCATGTACATGCTACCTTCTTTGCCAATACTAAAAAATGTGATTCTACTCGCCCCGTCTCGCTCGCTTGGCTTTGAAAAGCATGAAGCGGTGCGAGAGCGGGTCCAACAGGCGCACCGCTGCCCAACTGATGTAGCGGGTCTTGATTTGAAGCGGGGAGTGAGCGGCTCCTCACATAGCGGAACAACGCTCCGCTGCAAAAAAACCACCTGAAAGCGGGGCGCAGCGGAGCGCTTCAGCTGTTGATGGTAATATAGTTTGAGACAACATAGTATACAATCGGATTCGAGAGCGGTAAATTGGATTGTGGTGAAGCTTGACAGATAAAGTCTATGACAATTGGGTTGTAAGTTTAGTAATAGTAAGATATGTTATGGGATGGATATGGTGAAAGTTTGTAGTAAGTGAAGTTAGAACGGTGTAAGGATTGATAATCAGATGTGAGGTTGAGAAAGAAACAAAGTTAGAAAATAGTTCAATGAAGTACAGATGGGGGAAGAAGACGTGCACGATACATTGTATTTATTACCCCTGGCACTGGCATCCCCTGATTGGCTGACGTCTTGAATCTTGAATGGGGGTGTGGTGCCTATTTGAGCTGGAAGCGGCAAAGTCACATCTCCATTGGGTGGTGGTTCAACATTAATGGTGAAACAAAGAGAACAATTTGCCTGTTTGGGCATAGCGCAGAAAAAACCCCGGGAATAGTACCCAGGGCTGGTACGGGGCCGTAACGTCCGCAGCCGTTACAGTTTCAGGTCCCGCAAACCCTGTTATGTTGTGGTACAAAAAAATTGTAATATTCAATGTCCATGGTGCGGGGCGGGGTGAGCCGCAGCAAAACAGGCGCAACACTGGTGTGTGGCGGGTCCCAAAAACCGCAATGCCGCTGTAGTATTTAAAGCTCAACAAGAGCTTTACAACACCTAAGAAGGGATAATCTACTACGTGTAATATAGTAGAAGTTGCCTAAAGACTGCCTTCTTCAAAGAAACCAGCACAAGGGCACTTGCTGACCACTTTGTGATAACAGAGAAATAGATAAGGCACCAGAGAAATAAAGCAATACTGTTGTTAAGTATTATTCCCAGATTTTAAGCGCAAAAAAAAAAGTCACACACTATGTTTATTACTAGCAATACTGTTGTAAGTATTATTCCCAATTAGACTTGTAGTCTTTAACACACGTAAATAAATTTCTCCTTGCTTTGAAGGGGCGGATTTAAGTGATCTTAGTACAAATATAGTAAATAAATGATGATTTATAACACTACAACAAAGGTATAAGATGCAGAAAAGGGCGCTACAATCCCAAATTCATCAAGGAGTACTTATATCCAAATGTAACAATCTTTACAACAGTCAACAGCCTCAAAAACCAATCAAATCCGCCTAAATAACCCTAAAAACCATGTAATGACGCAATGTAATGATCTTGTTACTAATGTATGATGTAATTTTCACAGCCAAAAGTGATCAATGACGCAATGATGTAATGTACAGCACTTCTTAAGATGAATACAGGTGATTTTTTCCTTGTAAACTAGCTGAAACCCAATTTTTGAGATTACGATTTTTTTCAGATGTGCTCCAATTTTTGATTACTAAAGTGGATCTTGTAGCCCACGTGTTACTGATCATTTCTGACACCTATAAGACCTATTTCTGATGAGTGATGAGTAAGATATTGAGTTGTGAAGTTAAGGTTTTTGGTGTTACATGTGTCTTGTGACTGTAAAATTCGAGATTCACGCCAATTTCTTATTTCCCTTATAACTTTTTACATACACCTCCGTTAATAATGATTTAAAAGGTTGTACATTATGTAATCCACTCTTCTGCGTTGAATGAGCCATCTACCAACTTATTCTGACGTCATTTGACATATGTAATTAGCTGAAAACCTCCATTTTCGCCGATTTTCACCTATTTTCTTCACTTTTCACACCTTTTACTAAGCCTTTCTTGCCTTCTGTAACATGACATCATCTTCTATAACCTTAAAAATCCCGGAAAATCCTCTTGGCAACCTTAATTTCTACTACTACCACCATTACATATGTAAACTACACGCCTAACCCTTGTTTACCAACTTCGAAAAAGTACCTTCCTGCTAATAACTTCTGTTTCCCCTTATCAACCTTGAATATTAAAATTGTTCCTGTATAATAAACTGTTGTTCTTTCATATTCTAACCTTATAAAACCCATAACTTAATTATAAATAAGCTAAAAACCATTTTCCAACTTTTACACCTATATTTTCGAATTTTTCTTATCTTTTTTTTTTCTGTCTTTTTGTAATAACTTTGTAAGTAAACTATGTTGATCTTAATAATATTTTTGAACTAAGATGACATAATAATGATCCAATAAGTATACATAAGCCTCTAAGAGCTTCAATTGATCTGAAAACCTGAATTTCGAATCCTCTGCTATATTGAAGTTTGCTAATAAACTGGTAAAGTAAAGATGATTAATTTTTTTGCTTAATGTCATAAATAGATCACCACACCGCGCATAGCAACACACATGCCTGTTGGACATTCAAAGAAATCAGATCTCAAATTTCTGTTTCCAGTTGAAAATTTTACTTTCATTGATATATCTTTTCTTTGCAATTGTGATTCTATCTGAAATATTTCATAACTACTTGTCCTATTGATAGATTTTAGAGAGTCAATACTCAAACTTCACGCCCCGGTAGATATTGATCTCTGATTTATTCAAGTGTTTAATCAATGTGAAAGTCATCCAAAATCATATCTGGCTTTGATGGAATCACAATGTTCTCTGGATCTATGGAGTTGATTTGAATTGAACATGGCAATATTCAAGTCAAGGCATCAAGTTTTACTGACATTTTTGAAAATCAGTGAATGATTGTGACATCAGCCTGAGGTAAGAAATTTGTAACATCAAGATTTGAATTGGTCATAGAATCAAAGAAGACCTCAATCGGATCAACTCTCTCAGAACTTGCTGTTAAATAATATCCCATTATTCAGTGTCAAGTATTGTATGCTAAGAGCATCTCCAACGGCACCTTGTAAATGTAACAATATGTAAGGTATATTTTACATTTACAGGGTCAGGTCAAAAAACGACCATCCAATGGTCGCCAGCTTTCTCACATCTGGCCATGCGCGTGAATCTTGTTTTGAGGGATACTGGGTATCTCATGTCAGCCCCTTCATATATGAGGGGCTCTTGCAAAAGATGAAACACACAGTATTTGGCAGGTTTTGGACATAATGATACCACATTTGTCTAATGTTGAATATGATAACAGAAGGAATTACATATCAAGTCAATATTCAATGAGATATCAAAAGGGATATTGTGCACTTTTGGTGTTTTTGGCAGGAGCATGACCTTGGGAGTCCCTGCATCAGTGTGTGCGGTGGAGGGAAATCAATTTAAAGAAAAAATACAGCTGACTGTATGTTTTCAGATGAGCCTGTACGTGTTTTTGTGATTCAGGACCGTTGGAGATGCTCTAAACCTGGAGATTGTGGAATGACCAAGATGATCACGGTACAATACTGGTACCAGTGTGGTATCTGTGGCTGCGTTGTATATAGTCTATTAAACTTTATCATGTAAATTGACTGAGTCATTGAGGTTTGGAAAAAAATTACGGATACAAAATACTATTTTTGTACTATACATAAGACTGGGATCTTGGATAGCTTAAATTGATAGCGTTCCCCAAGCTGGCAACAGTACACTGAATTCCATTACTCGTGAGTTGTGAGAGATCCAGGGTGCGGGGAGATGAGAACCCGGACAAGAGAGACACCTGATCATGTGAAGCGGGTTCTGGAACAGAGAAGATGGAACAGAGAGACAGGGTTTTTTCCCGCCTCTCTTTTCCACCACATCTTACCACATCTAGACGCACCCTAACAAGATCTCACAAGTCAACTTTTTTCTGGTTATCTATTTTGGTTTTAAAGCCCACCCACCACCCGGGGTCAAGAAGTTGTTTTCTTCTCAGGCGCTGTCCTCGTTCAAAGGGTAAAGGAAGAGGGATGGAAGGAACCATCACTCAGACATCCTGTTACCTTTGGGACCACCCCCAACCACAACAGGTAGGATGCTAATGCCTTAATGGAAGGGTTGGTATTCTGTTGATGTGGTAGGACAGTCCTAAGAAGACTTGACATAAACCAAAGTTTTATTTCTCCTACTTACAAGACAAGAAGCACAACTGTGCACCTGACTTGAAACACACTACATGGAGAATGGATCTTTATCAATATACATATAAAATAAATTTCATATTCCCCTGTAAAATACACTTTTCTACATTTTTAATTTTGGCAGCCTTTGTCCAAAAGGCCCATATTTCTATATGTAATTGTGAATTCTACATGAGCAGTCCAATCTTTCCTTGATTTGTTGATTGTAGGAAGGATAAGAAGAAATTGATGGCAGAAACTTTTGAAAATCATTATTCACATTCATATCAGTCTATTTGAGCCTAATTTGTGCCCTACATTTCATCACAAATTGCCTCAAGGTCAAAGGACGTCAGAAAATTCAACTTCTGTATATAATTTGCAATTACATA